GAGCCAAATCCTGGCTTTGCCATTTGCTAGCCAAATTGCCTCAGATGAGCTGTGTTCCTTCTTTGAGCTTAATTTATTAAAATAGAGAGTTTACAGTGTGGTAATGAAGATTAGGTAAAGAAATACAAATAATCGGAAAGAATTGGTGCCTAGTGAATAATTATCAATCAATAAACGTTAGGTGCTTGTGTGATGGCATTGATGATGGGGATGGGCTACACATGACTGTATCCTTGCACAGATGAACAGTTGGTCTCTCTTGCTTTCACTCTTGACACAGGCCACCATCACCTCTTCCAAAGTCGATTCTTTATATAGCAGCCAGAGTGACTCTTAAAAAACATACAGTAGAGGAGCTCAGCGGTAGAGTGCTCACCTGGCATGCGCGAGGCCCTGGGTTCAATCCTCAGCACCACATAAAAATAAATAAATAAAATAAAGGTATTGACAACTACAACTAAAAAATATTTTAAAAAATATATAGTAAGTAGATAATGCCGTTTTCTTGCTCAAAATCCTCCAGTGGCTCCGCTTACAACTAAAATCAGATCTCACATCCTTCTTTAGCCTCAAGTCCTTGCCTCTCCCTCTGTCGACTACAGCTCTTCACCTGGATCCCTCTGCTTAGCCACACTGGCTTGGTTCATCAGGCCAGTCCCCCATCATATTCGATGGCCTATTGTGACTTTCCACCCGAGTACTCTGCTCACGGTGTCTGCTTTATTCTTGTCCTCCTAATGTAGTAATTCCTCTGTTGCAAGCATCTCCACAGAGAGAATTCCAACCTCTGCCTTCTCTAAAAATCAACAGGGTCAAAAGCTTGTACACTAATGCTTTATCCAGAAGGATTACAGTCCCAAGAAGAAAACTTTGAGTTTTGGTTTCCCTTTTTGTGTTATTTTTGAATCACTGTGACCCACATAACTTACAAGAGCAATTTAGAGGAGAGAAAGTTTATTTGAGCTCCTGGTTTCAGAGGTTTAGTTTGTGGTCGGCTGAGTCCTTTGTTCTGGGCCCAAGGTGAGGCAGAACATCACAGCAGAAGGACATAAAGAAGCACTGCTCATCTCATGGCTGCTGGGAAACAGAGAGGGGAAAAGGGACACAGATGATATACAGGGTACACCCCCAGTAACCCACTTTCTCCAATGATGCCCACCTGCCTACAGTGACGACCCAATTAGTCCATTCAAACTAGGATAGACTGATTAGGTCATAGCTCTCACAGTCCAACCATTTCACCTGTGAATAATCCTGCATAAACACCAGAGCTTTTGGAGGACATCTCATGTCCAAAATCATAGCACTTTTAAATAAAGGAAGTTGGCCCTTCCCTTTACTTTTCTGCTGGGCTCCTGCTGTCATCCCTCTCTCCTACCCTGAGCAGGGTGTGTACTTGGAAGTTTGTAAGTCTGGCCTTCTCATCCCAAATTCTGCCTTGTGCACATTGAATTCTTAGAGTAACGAAGCCTATCTTTTTCCTATCACCAGTGCCTTTCTTGGGTCCCTTATACCATTAATCTAGCCCTGGGAGTTTGATGGGACTTTTGTCCCTGGAATAATGCCCTAGAGAAAGCTTTTATTGTTCATCTCCCTGCATTTTTCCACTCACAACTCTTTTCCTATCACTGCATCTTCTCATTTATCCCAAGTTCTTAATTAAAATTCCAACTCTACACCACTTCTTCATTGCTTTGAAAAATTTCCCCAATCACAGTTATGTCTTGAATGAATACTTATCTCTCCGCTGGACACTGTTCTGTCTAAACCAAAGCTAAACACAATTATTTCAGAATGTGATTTTAGATCTAGGATTTTGAATTTATTGCCTATGTTCCCTGGATTTCTGCATGAGTCATTGAATCATCATTTAATATTATTAGACTTAGAGGAAACCTTTAACATCATAGCTCTTTTTAGATCAGAGAAACCCAAACTTCTACACATGCTAAACATAATAAAAATGTGAACTTTTAGAATAGAAGATGGTCTTCAGAATTTATTTGTTAATGACTGCCTCCCACTACATGCACCTTCAATTTCTACATGAAAGAGGAAGAAACAAAACCCCTGAAAGGGTGTGATTCATCCAGGCTCAGAGGGCCCAAAGGGCACAAGCAGGAGAGGGGCCCAATGTTGGGATCCCCCTGGCCACGGCTCTCCTAAGCATGAGGCTACTTCTTCAAAAAAGGGCTTGGCTTGGTTTGAAGATTTACAAAGACATTTTTGGACAGGTTGCAGAATGTTAATTTATGTGAGACAAGAAAATCTGTTTTCTGTCTTTTTCTGCATTCTTTCATGACTTTTCAGTCTGACTTCTAACAGATCCCTGGGCACCTTCTGCCCAGTCCATTAGGTCCCCAGGTATAACCTGACCCACAGCCAGTATAATCTGGAGGAAGTGCCTCCTTTCCTCCTGATCCCCATGACCATATGACATCTCTGTGTATCCTAATGTGCAGCTGTAATCTGAGATGATTTATGGGAGACTCACATTGTTTGGTAGCCGTTTTTTCATCGAAATGATTGTGGCTTTGAAAAGAATTGAAATAGAAAAAAAAATTTAAGACTGATAAGGTAAAAAGTATTTAGCATTCTTGATCTTGTAGAGTATTAATAAAATTGCTTTATGCATCTAAATCTGTATGGCTGAACTTACCGGTAATTTAGGTCAAGGGCTAGAGGCAGTATTCGGAACTTATGTTCACAGTTCTTCCATTCCAAATTTATAGAATTGTGTGAAATTCAAAACTTAACCATTTTCCCCCCCAAGAATCCCGGTTGGCTACTAAGAAGCAGTGTGCTTCTAAATTCTGAAACGGGGTTTCAGGCAAATTCTGAAATTCTTTGTGTGTGAAATCTAACCTATTTTCCAATTTGTGGTATATTATTAAACCAAGAATTGCCCTGGGAAGCAAAAGCACAGGGCAATCCAAAGAGGTGTCCAAGTCTGCTGACATCTGATGCTGCCTTCCCGGAGGTTTGTTTTATTTTGTCATTCACCATTCACCTTTTTATTCCAAGGTGACTTTTAATTCCACTCTTATTTTATGCATAGTAGTCACAATCGCTCACTTCAGATGTTAGCATTATCTCTAAGGGATAGTCCGTACATCTGGTTTGCAGCAACTCCATTCTCCCTCTTCTTTGGGAACCTTGAAGCACAGTGCCGTTTGCTGCATTAAACATAACTATTTCTGATCTTAGTCAATCTATAGACCCTGACTTACCTACGACCTTGAGTTATTAAAAAACAAAAACCACTCAAAGTCCTGCCTTGATTATGTAATATGGCCACTAGGCTGACTCAGGGACTTTGTGTTTGGAGCTGAGAAGAGAAATCTGCTTTTCCACACACCTTCACATCTGAGAGATGCTGAACCCAGCTACTAAGCTGTGGTGCTCCATCTTGACCACAGACTTAGAATTAAATTTCAGAGAAAGGCACAGCATGTTTCCAAATGTCCCTGCTTCCATTTAGGTCCAAGATTTCTTTTCTTAAGATGAAAAGTGCCTTCTTTCCCTAAATCCAGCTGCAGAGAATCTGGCTTCAAACCAGCCTCAAAGGTTCAGTCATGTGTAGCCTTGTCAAAGATTCATGGTGGAAGCTGAGAAAGCATCATGCTGGTAATGCCAGGGGTCACTGAGGATAAAGTAGTACTTATCCTTCGGAGTAAAAGTCATAATATCCTCGTGGAAAGTCACTTTTAGGTCTTAACCTAGGAGTCACCCAGATCTTATCCAACACCTCATTTTACAGAAGGGGAAACTGATACCAATAGCATGGATATGACTGGCTCTGGGCCGTGGTAGAGGGAGGGCTAGATCCCAGACCAAAAATCTGTGCTGGCCCATATACTGCTGTATCCCCATTAAGCAGCACAGGGGCTGGTCATAGGAGGGGCTCAGTCAAAGGAAAGAACAAATATAATACATCTTCCCCACCAGCCCTTATTCTTCCCCTTCTCTTGATATTTAACTAACTTCATCTTCAGAAAAGCCCTTCTGTCCCCTGCTGCAGGCCAAGAGAAATCCCAGGTCTGGCCATCACCAGGCTAGCCTGGCTGGGCTCTCCTTCTCCTTCAATGCCAGATTGAGGCTCCAGTACGTTTATTTAGGAGGCAGGTGGCTGGTTGTTATAAAGGTGTTTTCAGTTTATTTGGATCTTAAAAGCAGATGAATATTAAAGAGAGATTCAGAAAAGTTTGGGAGCCCCAGTAGTGAGTAGTGCCAGGACAGAGAAAACGTCTTGTTTTAGAGATGAGAAGGGACCTTCTGGTTTCAGTTTGGTCAGGCTAGACCAATGTCACCTGGAATTGCTCCTGCATGCCCACTATCTCTTAAAAGTTTCCGCGGTTGAGAAACGTCAAAATCAGAACAGAGAAATTAAAACTTTGCTGTTTCACAGATTGTTGGCTCTCAATGGAGGGGAAATGTCACCGGACTTTGATTCCAGAGGCAGGTATCTTGTGGTCTGCTGACCTGTTTGGACTCCACAAGAGATGGAGACCCGTTGATTGAGACCAGTTATGCTCCCTAAGAACACAATCTTAAGTAACCTGTACAGGAAAGGAGCTGGGGGAGGGGGGACCGAGGGGGAGGTTGTCACCTGCTGAGCTCCAGGAGAACCTGTAACACTAGCGCTCCCCTGCCCTCTCCCCCTGCGGAACAAAGATGTCCCCAGCGTACCCGGAGTCCTAGCGCTCCGCGTGTGCGCCCTGCTGCTCCGCGCACCTGCCGCGGGCGCCGCGCGGGTCTGACCCGCAGGCAGGCGAGCGGCGCGCACAGGTGGCGGCGATTGGGCAGGCGGGGCCGGGAAGGTGACGTCACGGGCTCCGGTCCCGGCGGCAGAAATAGGGCAGCCGCCGCGGCGGTGGCACAGCAGCGGGCAGCGGCGGCTCAGAGAGCTGGCGCCTCAACAGCCTCCAGCGCGCCTGAGACCCGCGGACAGCCAGAGAGACCGACCAAAGGACGCGGGGACGGGTCGCCGCCGCCGCCACCGGGCGCACCCTATCTCCCGCTTGAGTCCGGCCCCCTGGTCGTCCCCTCGGCCCCGGCTGCCTCAGGTAAACGGGTACAGCTCCGAAGCAGGCGCGCGGGCGTGTGTGTGTGTGTGTGTGGGGGGGGGGGGGGGGTGCCAAACCGATGCCACCGCCACCAACTGGTCCTGCTGCTCCTTGATGGGGTCCCGGCGCCCCGCAGCTCCGCGTTGCAGGGCCCGCCGCGGACGCTTGCTTGTCCTTACTGCCCGCGCTGGGAGAGCCAAGTTTGCCTGCCTGGCCTCGGGCATGGGACCACAGGACCGGGGTTTGGCAGGGCTGCCGTGTCTGGGCTAAGACTCGAGGTAAAGACTGGGGTTCTCAGGCTTGTGGCTGGGTCTGCAGGGGGAGCCGAGCGACCCTTCTTGCGCGCGGGGCGGCTTGCAGAACCGCTCAAGAGGAGCCTGAAGCCCGCGTCGGGCTGCGAGACCCTGTAGACGCAGATCTTAGGCTCCGGACCCAAAGCTGCCTCAGCGGAGCCAGGCGAAGTGCAGCTCCTCGGCTAGGACCTGTGCCCTTGGCTCCGGGCTGGGGCGCGGGGCGGGCATCATCAACACCTCCTTTTTCCGGCTTTGTGAGGAAACTTACGTCTCCTCGCTGCCGCCTAAAGGGCCTGCTGCGTCTCGCCTGGCCCTTACTATCCCGAGGTCCACGGTGGAGGAAGCTGGAGAGGAAGGAACACGGACAGAACCTGGCTTTGGGTAGTCTGCGGCTCTTGTTCTGCGCGGCGGATAGCTCTTCAGAACCGGCGGCTGGTGTTAACCCTCTGGGGAGTCTCCAGGGAGCCGTTTGATCTAACATACAGGTTGGGGGCTTGGCCCTAAGAGAGATCATAGTGTGAGTGATCTCCGTCCCTCTTTGCTCCAGCAAAGAAATCATTTCCAAGTTTCAGGGGGACCTAGGGGATGCAGGCAGAGTGCTCCCTTTGGGGCGCATGCCGGCTTGAGTTTGGGGACAACTGGGTGTGAGCCTTCAGGGATCCTTGCAGCTGACAAAGCGGCGCCCCACGCGGGTTCGCCTGAGGCCTGCCACCTGAGGACTGCGTGTCCTGCAACTCTTGCACAAGCAGAAACCGTCTACCAGCAGTAGGGTTTCACAAGGTGCCCTCAACTTAGAGAGCATCCAGTTCAGCGCGCAAAGGTATACTGAAAGTTCCCGGAGAGTTGAGCTTGGTCAGGTCGGCTTCAGGGCTCAGAGAGTTGGTCTCCAGATGCGCTGTCCAGCAGACTTCCCTCCTGATAACTGTCCCCGACACTGATGAATAGCGCTTCCGCAGCCTCTCCTCTGCTCCCCTCTAGGTGTCGCTTCCGCCGAGGTTTCCGATGAGTAAAAAACAGCGCCAGCAGATTTGGTCTGTTCCTTTAGCAAATTTGTTGCAAACCAGTGCGCCAGGAATTGTACTAGATGGGACCATGAGATATCAACATACATTCATGTTCTCTGAGCAAACATAAACGGGATTTCAATAAGAGGTGACAAGGAAACTGCTAGCCAAAACGTGCACCAAGATCCCCACCATTCTCTCAGGGGGTGGGACAAGAGGGATCAGGAAAAGATTAGGACTTTTATTCTTAAAAGTCCTAAGTTATTTTCCTACCACCAGCCTTTGAGGAAGCCAGAGATGATTTTTAACAGTGTCTTCTTAACCCTGGAATGGACCGGTTTCTCAGGTGACTCCTTCTGGCTTCCAGGACAGGCTCTGCACCTGTGCAGTGGCACAGCAGAAGGTTCACCCGGGAAACAAATGGTCAGGGGAATGAGTGATATGGCTTCTATGACACCAGAGCCCCAGCATCTGTTAAGCACTAACTCAGCCCTGGAGTCAAAACCTGCAGGGCTCAGGTTTGCTTCTTGGCTCAGTTGCAGGAGGAGGCACTGCAGCACCACCAGCCCATTTCTGCCATCCTCAGCTGAATGGTAGCTTGCTTTCTCACATGTTAGAAAACAAGACAGCACCCTCTCCCAGGATTTCAGATTGAGCTAAAATTCATGCAAGAGAATAGTCCAGTTGATGTAATGTATTAAAATTCCTCATTACATTTGTCCCAGTAGCTTTCCCCCCCCACTCTTAGAATTTTATGTTAATTCCAGAAATGCTTTTTTTCATCCAGGGAGGGGACAGTTTATTTTTCTGTGCATTAGGAGAACTTTTATCCCTCTGGCTATATGCCCTGTAGGTGAGTAAAGAAAGGAAAGGTTGAGTTTCCTGCTGAGACTCACTTAGTACTTTTCTCCTTTCTACTAGGGACTATAGGACTTTTTTTTTTTTTTTAAGTGACCTTATGTTGTTATCTTTTGTTTGACTGAAGGCCACATTTTAGAGATTGGGATGAAGTTGTAAGGACTTCATAAAATCTATCTTGATTCATACATTGTCTCTCTTTCTTCTGCAAACTCAACCTTTTTATGTTGCTTATGTGGGGTCACCCCTACCCCGTACTTCCTAAGTTAATGATTAGACAGTTGTTTCAAGAGCGTATCTTTTCTTACACTTTCTGTCTCTTAATGCATAACATAGAGCATGGAATGTCAAATAAAATAGATTTGTAGTCAAAAGAACATAGTACTTAAAATATATAATCTACGATCAGAGAGGTAAGGGTTATTGGAAGCCATGTGTGTGTTAAACTTAGTGGTAAATAGGAATGCCACAGATTTATGCATTTCACATTTAGGCATCTCCTTTATCAATGGTGAAAGATATAGAATAGATAATTGATAGAAAATACAATCAAACTTCATTATGGCTTGCTACAAGGTTAACCTGATATATTTCTAGACCTGTTTTTTCTGGGTTGGTGTTTTAGGGATTATCTTAGAATATATGAACCACTTTTTCTAAAAATACTCACAGATCAAAATTAGAATCCTAAGCCTTTCAGAAGAAATTTCCAGATAGCCTACTAGTTTCAGGTTGAGGTTGATACTTGCCTCCTTCAATATTGGTGGACATGTAGAAGAGGACTGCTGGGCTTTGGTGTTCCCTGGTTGATTTCCATTTGTTGATTGCTAACATGCAACACACTTAAAGTGATCTGCTACAGCAGACACTTTTTCCATTGGAAAGGCTGGGAATGCAGATGCCTCAGGGTCAAAAATCTGACTGTTCTCCAAAGATGCTAAGTGGCATCACTTGTTTCTACCAGAAAAGCTATTTGTGTGGCTAATCCATAATTACTGGTCTGGACATGTTACTATGTTCTGGAAGAGAGGGCAAGAGAGAGAAGTAGTAAACAATGTCCCCCAAATCCTGAGGGACAGAATTCCCACTCCTCCCAGCAGAGCTGGCTCCCAGAATAAAATAGTTGACTTAAACCCATTGCCAATGTAATGTCTATGCTTTCCTTTGGCCACTGACTCTGTTCAATAAAGATAGCATATATGCTGGTGTGTGTTCTCTGGGAGGGGTAGATCTCAAATTATTCATATTAATACCTATTTGTCCTCTAACAATTTGCATTTTTATGTTATGCTTTTTCAAAGCAAGTTGGCATTTGGAATGTTACATCATAATAATGCCTCTAAAATTGAAATTAAAAAAAGCACAGAGATCACCTTATTTTAGAGCATCAGAAAATCCTGTGGTTTTCACAAGGAGAGGGGAGGCGATCTGGCGGGGTTCTTTCAGCACCAAAAAAAGTGAAATCTATCTATCTAGGCAGAGCCTGCAAATTTACACTCTATATGTAAATTTGCAATAATGTAAGAAACAAAAGAGTTGCCCAGAAGGCAGGATGCTGGGGTTTTAGTTTAGATCTGGCCACTGGCTTGGTGACTTCCACAACCTTGTGGTCTCTGGTGTCTGGTGTGGGCAGCAGTCAGGCTAGCACCTGCTTTTCCTAGGCACGTAGAAGTGTTGTGGAAAACCACGGAGGAAGCGGTTAAGGACCTCTGCCAAACAAGATGTCTTAACTTGTACTTCCTGAGTTGTTTAGAAGGAAAGGTAGTCCCAAGTTTTCCTTTGAGGACAGTCCTGGGTGGCTTTATAACTAACTAATACTTAGGACTCAGGATCCAATGAAACTTTTAAACCTAAATTAATCTCAAAAGGAGCTCCAGGTTGAAAGACAGAGTGTGTGACCTTATGAATGGCACCTTCCCAGTTCTCTAATGGGAAAATTCTTGTATTTTTCCTTCCTCTGAAACCCCATAGGGCTATTTGACCTTGAGAAGTAATTAATTTGGTAACAAATCTACTTTCTCAAAGCTACGGGTTCTTCTTGTGAGCTAAGGGGCATCCTGCATCTTTGCTGCTCAAAATTCTGTGAATTTTATCATGGATTTTTTAATTACATTTTTTTTCTTGACCTATAAATAAAGCAGCAATGAGGAGTGTGTACCAAGTGGCCCCTGCCCTGGGGCAGGACGACAATTTGGCTCTTTCCCCTTGCTCTGCCTTGAGTAGAGCCATGCTAACTCGAGGAGGTCAGGTCTTGGCAGATTTCAAAAGCAAGGAGAGACTGGGGACTCAGAGCTGCCAATCTTGCTTTATATAGATTTTCCTCATCACACCCAAAACAACTATTTATCAAGATAAAATATTGCTAAGGGTCGAGAGGCAGCTTAGGATGGGGGTTAAGAGTATGGACCATGGTCCACCTGCCTGGCTTGGAATCTCAACACTGCCACTTATTTGCCACATTGCTTGGACAGAGTACTTAACCTTACTGTCATCATGTTTCCTCTGTCATCAGAACGGGAGATAATCATTGCCCTCCTCATGGAGTAGAAAAAGAGGATTATGAGTTAGTACCTCTAAAGCATTTAGAACAGTGCCTGACATATTGTAATTGGTATGTAAGTGTTAACCAAATGGATAGTCTCTATTTGGTTATTAGACAGATCATCAAAATTGATTTAGACCTAATATTAATTCTTTTTATGAACCGATCTGTCATAAAATTCGAGTTATAAATTTTTAGGATTTTGCTGCCATAGATGGAGTGAATTGTCAATCACCATAAGTATAAAATGACATCTAAAGCACATCCACTGTGCAAATGAAATCAGAGCTGGTGATGGCCAAACAGATCTCAATTTTACAAAGAAGCTCCCTAGGAGTATCTCAGGGATTAGCCTGGTTCCTGTTTTCCCTGTCTTCAAAAAATAACAGGGAGCCTCAATGCAAACCAGATAACACCAGTGGCAACTCCAGGTAAAAAGCAAGGGCTGAGCATAGGGTTTCTGAAACACAATTCAGAAACCAGCTGGTTAACACCCTGAAGGTACCTCTTCAATGAAGTGATTTAGTATTTGCCAAAATGACAATTGAAATGAAAGGATTTTATTTTGAAGCTATCCATGAATAATAAAACATCAGACATAATTGGCTTTAGATTACTAGGCAAATTGAAAATGAAATACTGGACTTTGTAACTTGTTTATTTCATAATTCCATGAATTGACATCTGTATGTTAACCAGAATAAATTCTGATTATATTGCAGTTTTTAGTTTATTTGGGCTAGGAGGCATGAAAAGGGAGAAAAGGAGACTTTTAATATGTGTGCTTTACCCCATGAGCAATGTTTGATATTGGATAAGTAGGGGAAATTTCATTAAAAAAGCAGGAAGCAATGTCTTTTTAGTTTTACCTTGAGATACTCTGGCTGGCTTTTAAAAATTACAAAAATCCAAGATCGGCAGTCTCTGGAATGTGTCTGTGTGTTCATAAGAAGATAATTTATGAGGAGTAGGGAGTTGCCCTATTTATTTTTAGAAAAACCGGTTGCAATATGGGAAAGATATTTTTACTCTCTTTTAGTCCTGAGTATGGTTTCTTTCCCCAACTCCTCCTCATCTTTGTTAGAATTCACCCACCAAAGCCAGAGCCTTGGAATTGGGAGCACAGAGTTGGGCACCAGCTGCTAATGCTACAAGCCATGCCCAGGCAGCTGTTAATGCTACAGGCCACGCCCAGGCAGCACCGGAAGTTGCGCCATGCCACTCTACTCTGCTGTCTTCAGGGTGCAGAGCAGGTGTTGAGGCTGTGACCTTCAGATTACATTGACTGGCCCCCTGGACTACTTCCCAAGTACCTTAGCTTTGCCAACAGATGTCAAAGATGAATGACTGAAGAAATAGATGTAGGAGCAGAAACCTCTGGACTCTTTTTGAAACCAGGAGACATCTTTTCTTAAAAGATAATCATCTCTTACAATCTTGCCTTTTCGTAGGCCAGTGTTACATACCCATAAATTTTAATCTGACTTCTCTTCCCTGTGGGCATTTCTGTTTCAAACTTGGGACATAAAGCAAACATGAAGATGCAGCTCTATTTGGGTGTGGAAGGCAGCCAAAAGAAACCAAGATGTGACAGGAGTGTATTTGTTTAGTGGCCCTAGCTACAGCACCAGTGATCCGGTGACAGCCCCTACCCCTTGTCTAGAGTAGGCATCCTTCAAGGCTGTTCCTTTCTCAAGCTCTAAAGTCTCACAAACACCCAGTTATCTCTGACTCAGACACCTGCTCTGGCTTAGTCCTGGGCCAGGTCACACCAGTTGTTGGTCTCCAAAGAGCTCTGTGTCTTTCATCTCACCAGCCAGGATCAGGGTACAGGACATGTAATTAAGCACTAAATTGTGTGATGCATGTGGAAATCAATAACCCCTCAAGTTTCCTGGAGTAAGAGCTGTGGGTACTGTGTTGTGAGTTCTATGTGGCTCTGTCTTAGACAGATACTAAAATTATGGTTGGAATATATTCACAGTGAAAATCCCTTATTTAGAAAGTCCAGCTAATTGGACTAATTGCATAGTCCATGTTCTCATTATCCTAGCACAGTGCTTACTTAGCACATGGTAAGGAACTTAAACATTCTTGGTAGCCAATCCTTGGTTTTATCCATGTAATTATTTGATTAACTTGAATTGCCCATCTCTTTTCTTGAAGGTCTTTAGACAATAATGTTAGAAAGGGAGTCTCAGGAAACACCTTAAAGATTATTGAAATTCTATTTTCATTCATTGCTTTTATTCAACTACAAACATTACTGGTTTTCAAACCAAAATAATGGAGCTTATGATGCCATTTTTGAAGCCCATCATCTTGTAAACTGAGGTGTAATCCACAATCAAGTTGACATAGATTAACAGAATTCCTCATGAGCATTTTTTGAGCACCAATTGTGTGTGTAGTCCCAAATGCTTTCTGGGGAAACCGAGGCATGAACATGCCTGATGCAGGTAGTCAAGCTGTCTCTTTCTGGTTTGTTCTTATCCATGTAGTAGCAGATGGCATTTCCAAGTGGAACTCTACATACCCACCAGCATTTACAGAGTTCTGGTGTGTGACACCAGCATCTTTGATTCTTACAGCAACCCTATGAGGTACACAGTATTGCCCCCACTTTAGAGGTGAGAAAACTAAGGCACAGAACTCATGCATCTTCTCCAAAGTGGAACAGAAGGATTGGTGCTGGGCTTTAAACTCGGGTTAATCTGATTCTGAACACGTACTAACTCGTTGTGACTTGTTATGCATTCTGCAAAACTTAGTGCCAGACGTTTGTCATTTTCTCAACAGACTGAACAAAATGAAACCAGGAAGCTTTTGGCTGCATCTTACACTGCTTGGGTTCTCCCTGCCAGCTGCGCTGGGATGGATGGACCCAGGAACCAGCAGAAACCCGAACGTGGCTGTGAGGGAGTCACAGGCAGAGGTATGTTCAAACCACTGCTGACATGACATTGCCAGCTGATTGCTTTTCCATGTTATAGTATCTGATTTCCTTTCCACCTTTAGTTGAGATCAGTTAGAATACTGTGTGAATTAAAATTGCATTTCCTTTTTGGTGGTAGGGGACAGAAGGCGGCAACATGAATTGATGAAGACACGAGGCTTGTATCTCACACACTACAAATTCATTCCAAGCTGTAGTTAACACGGTTAGTCTTTCACAAAGACCCTCAAGAGAATGGCCGTTCTGTATATTTAATACAACTCTGAAAATGCAGACTAATTGGTGGAACACACCCATGCGAACTAATGAAGTATTTGAATTATAAAGTAGATTTTAAAAAGAAATGGATGACTTTTCAGGTATATAGATAAAAAGAACCAGGCTGAGAGAGAACTGGCAAGTCAAGATCCTAAGGGAGACTGGTTTAATGAACAGATAAGAATGATTAATGGCATGTTAGGTATATATAAATGATTCTAAAGTGCTTGAAAAACTTGTTCTTAAATACCTCCCTAGAGGGTCTGGTTATATGGCTAATTGCTTAGTGAACTGGTCTTAAGTACTGGAGAGGATTCATAAACTGCACCCTCACCCTGCTCAGGGTAGTGGGCCCCATGAATTCATGGAGAGGTTCACAAGGATGCAGGTTTTCTTCAGAAAATGACTTGTGTGTGCTAAACCTTATGAAATGACTTACACCTTTTCATTAAAACCAACTGGGATCTTCTGTATGCAGTGACAGATACCAATTCTCAGGGAGCTTTTCAGGCATTCTTACTTCCATTTTCTTACTTAATGCATGCCTGTATCCTTTTTTCCATACTTATATCCTGTCCTGAGGAACAAGAAATAAAAAATACCTTGAAAAGTCAACATTGCCAGGGAGTGAATAACGGTACACAGTGTAGAGTAGGATTAATGCACTTATTTGCTCAAACGACATGACTTCTCTTTCATTATTACTTAATTGTCATGCAATCCCCAAACTGCAAACCTTAGTCTTTGGGGAGCTTCAGAAGTAATTTAGCATACACTTTTCTTGCTGAGGTTGGTGTGGTGTGCTTTTGTGACCTGCTGATGATTAAATAGAAACACTATCTCTCCCATCTAAATCCATGAAGAATGCACCTTAATGCTCCTTTGAAAGAGTCTGGTGGCCTACGTGCAGGTGAGAACAGCTTTCCCATGTGGGAAGGGCTTAATCATTAGACTCATATTCCAGACAAAGGAAAAATGATCCCTGAAATCCTACAGTTATATGTGGAATAGTTTTTGTTTTGTTTCGTTTTTATTGTGGAGTAGTTAACAGCAAGGCAAACCTACAGAGAGGCTCAGGCTTCTTATTGTAGGGGCTCATTGGCTCACTGTCTTCAATCACTTATCTCAATTAAGAGTCAAGCCAATTAAGGTGGGATGTAGCTGGAGGTAAATGGAAGGTAAGTTAAAATCACCTCTAGGGCCTTTTCATCTGAGCTGTTTACACCTTAATACTTTGTGTACCAACCAGAACCAGCCACTGCTCCTCCTCCCAAGGAAGGAAGACTTTTATGTTAGGAGTATTTCTGTCCCTCAGCTGTTAACCTCTTGAGTGGCTGCTTCAAGTGATGTTTCTTCCAAACGCAGGAACAACTGCTCATACTTCTTGGCTCTAGATTTCATTTTTGTGGTGTTTTAACTTCTACTCATTGAGTCTGTTTCTATTCACCATGAATGCAGTGATGATAATGTAAATGGTCCAAGTACATAGGATGGTCTCTGTAAATATTTAGCTCCAGTGAGCAAGGCATTTGTTTTAATGCACTTGGTCACGAACTATGCATGTCCCCTGTGCTCTTACTCACTAGGGTCCTGATGTGCCACCCTGTCCCTTCTTTCACATATCTGAGTCTTTCCCTGCTCCAAGGTAAATTCTGGTTCTTACCTTTTCTCTAGAAACTTCTTTGACTGCTCTTTGTCACATTTGGTCCCCCCCTTTCTGAACTCTTGGTCCTTTTTCTCTTCTCTTCTTCCTTTGATATTTTTAGTTTAGCATGTGGATGAAACCTGTCTTATTTATCTTTCCTCTTCCTCCCCGTGTCTAATAATTTTATGAGGAAAATAGAGGCTTCATGAATTCCAAAGCCAATCAAGGCTTAATGCAGCACTCAATCCTGGTCATGAGAGCTTCCAAAATTCAGACTAGACCATCAGGTCTTTAAGTGGGTGACTGCCTATTGCACCTGGCAGGTTTGTTTCTGGTGGGGACGAGAATGGTCTCCCTGCAGGCTGTGAGCTATTAACATACCTATAACTCACTGTCCAGACCCAGTTATAGTCCTTAGGCAGTTTCCTAAGACAGCTTTATTTCCTAGAAGAATCAAAACCAGAGTTTCCTGAGACCTGAGACTCAAAATAAGTTAAAAAAAAAAACAACCTTGACTTTTTTAGCAGTAAATATTGAAATGTTTCCATGAGTGTTTTCTTCCTGATAGGAGTTCCTCACAAAATATTCATTAAGATGTTTGAAGTACTTAGAAAGCATTAATAAGATTTGATTTGTCTTTAAAGTTATTATACCAATTACTTGAACGTCCTAAGGGTAAATAAGGATTAAATGACCAATGTGCGTGTGTTCGCATACTTTTAAAGCAGTTATAGCAAGTGTGAATTTTATTAAATTATTGTTTTACGTACAAAGACTGCAGTTGAAGTAGCTTCATGGAGTTTATCATTTTACAGATGTAGATAAAAAGAAATGTAGCTGGGTGGAGTGCTTCTTTAATAAGAGCTGAGGAGGAGAACGTAGCTTTGAATGCTAATACAATTCTGGAATCAGAGGAAACAATTCTGAGAGATGCAACTTATTGAAATTCTAAAATATCATTATATTCTCCTCCTTTCCCCAACACTCTGGCTAAGATTAATATACTGTAGGCTAAGCATCCCTAACCTGAAAATCTGAAATTTGACATGACATGTTGGTTGAGAGCCAACACCACACCACAAATGGAAAATTCTACACCTGACCTTGTGAGATACTTGTGGTCCAAATGCAGGTGCACTAAAAATACTGTATACAATTACTTCAGACTATATGTATGTAAAACAAATGAAATTCATGTTTAGACATGGATCCTGTCCCCAAGATATGTATGTGTGTGTGTGTGCATGTGTGTGTGTGTGTGTGTGTGTGTGTGTATGCAAATATCAAAAAAAAAAAAAAAATTCAGGATCTGAAACAGTCTTGGTACCAGGTATTTCAGATAAGAATACTGAACGTGTAGTAAAGTCAATATCAGAATTTTATATTTTGGGGAACCAGGAAAACATGAGAAGTGATGTGGTGATAGACACAGAGAGCTGGCCTACTCTTGAGAGGTAGGGATTTGTGGCAGGTCCCCTTGTCCCTGAGTGTTCCAGCACCAGTGTCTGACCCAGTTGCTGGGTGATCTTTAAATAATCTTACACAGACTTCTTGAATTTCACTTAACTTTTTCTACATGATTCTTGCCATGGGGTATTTTTACATACTAAGCAACTATAAATATAAATGCTAATATTTATTTCTCTTAAAATTGTTTTCTTCATATGCCTTGGGGCTTACAGACCAGCACTTTGGGATCAGATGCCACGTTTTCAATATTTGCAAACTTTCTAAAAGATTATAAGGGGTGTACATGGAAGGTGGTATCAGTTAACTTCAGTTATGGTTTGCCTACTTCCTAGAACACGTTCTCCTCCTCAGCTTTTGGGGACATTTAATATCCAAACCATGAGGGGGTCAGCCTAAGAAAGCACTGGTCCTCCCCTGACAGGCCAACCCTTTTTGCAGATGTGGGCCCCAGACACAGTGCGGAGGTGCCACTCCTGTCCCTGCCAGGGCAGCTTCAAGTTGTTGGCTCCCTAAAGCTCTCAGGCTTCTTCCTGCCTTGGTGGGGCATTCAGGTGTATATTAATCTTTAAAAAATATTTCTTTATTCTTATACATCTTATTGTCTTTAAGAAAATGCTACCCATCCTTTCTAGCAAAGTCCTTCCTGGGATTCTTGGGGTAGAATTGCTGGTGGTCTGTGGGGTTTGAGGTCCACCCCTGAGTGTCTTGAATCACCCTTGTGCTCAGCCTGTCTACGGGCTTGAAAAGAAGCTCCCTCCTGCCTGTGAACAGATGGGTTCATGCTGGGTGCTTGGTGTGCTCTTACATCTCACCTGCAGCTCTGGCCTACAAGCATCTCTCATGTATTTCTGTAGTATTGCCTTTCCTAAGCACTACTGTATGGACTGGAGTACTGGACTCAAAGAGGACTGGATTCAAAGCCTTTCAAAGAATCTGAGACTCTGGGAGAGGTCCCTCAGCACGGGGTGGAATGGCTCTTGGGTTGCCAGATGCATCCTGTTCTTCAGGATCTGCATTTTGACTTCAGGTGTGGTGCCCTGGCAGGGTCTTCTTCTTGGTCCCAGCACTTAGCCATGGCTCTCTGCTGACTTTGCTTGGTGTCAGGGTATGTTAGACAGCTTTCTGTCAGTGAAAAAAATCCCTAGGAGAAATTTAAGGAGGAAACATTTGTTTTGACCCATGGTTTTAGAGGCTTCAGTTCATGGTCACTTGGCCCCCTGGACCATGGTCTTGTGGTGAGGCAGAGCATCATGGCAGAGACTGAGGTGGATCGGGAGAATCTGGAGTCCCAATATTCCCTCAGGGTGGGGGGCATGCCCCCAGTGACCTGCTTTCTCCAATAAGGCCCCATTCCTGAAGTTCTCATTGCCTCCCAATAGTGTCACCAGCTGGGGACCTTTAATCCATAAGCTTTTGGGGGACATTTAACATACAAAGCATGAGACAAGATGAGAATTTTAGTTTCTCAGGTTAAGTGGTGAGAGTGCCACCTCCCCGTTGCAGATGAGTACATCTGTCATTTTCAAGGTGAAAGATGGCAGCAGATCCTTCCAAGGGTGTTCCTAATGACAGAGCTAGCATGTGCTGTGCCCTGCCCCAGTGCATC